TCGAAACGACGTGATTTTTTATCGCTAATATTTATCTCAAAATCGATTTCTAAGAAACTACTTATTAACATAATTATTGAGCCCTAAAATTCATGTGCCCAGTTCACAATGTAGGAAAATTCTCTAACTTCATTTTAATTGTCTAACAAAGAGGACTTCTTGAATGAAAATCCTGATGAGACAAAATTCATGAAAGTGGAAATGATCCCCGCAGTTGAATAAGCACCCTTTAGCAGTGGTTGATAAAGAACCTGAAAAAATTGGATCACTATACGTTTCTGGGAAACTGCCCGCTTACCCCTCCCCTAAGCCAACATTAACACTTCTCATTTAGGGGAAAATGTTGGCTTAGGGAAGGGGTAGGTGAGCAGTTTCCCTGAACCGTATAATGATCCAAAAACTTCGGGCTTGACTGGGAATTGACCTTTACGGTGACCGGATGCAACACTCTATCTGGAGAGCAGGCCATTGTAATATACCTGATGGTTTATTGTTTATTGTTTGTTTATTGTTTTGTTTGCCAAAAATTAAACAAATCAAATAAAATCTGATTACCTTAACTCTCATGGCGAGGAAGCCCAAGAGAAGCCACCGGGCTTATAAGGAATGGGCTCCCTCAGTTAGATAATAAGAACAAAATATTATCATAATTACACACGGGAAAATCAATGGCAGAGCTACAGTAAATCTTAAAATAAGTATATTAGATAGTCGTACTAATCATAGTTCTAGGCTAAAAAAAGCGAAATGACAAAAAGAAAAAACAAAAACAAAACAAAAGAAAATAAAAGAGCAAAGGAAGAAAAAAAAGATACATATATATATATATATATATAAATTACTATTTATGATAAGAGGAATGCTTTCTATTTATGATATGACATGAATGGAAATATATAGAAATGAGTCCTTTCATATTATTTCCATTCAAGACAAAATACATTGTATTCTCCAAAAATATCTTTTTCAATGTACCATGTCGTGTGCTGTGTATAATTATCTAACCTTGTCGACAACAAACCCCAAAACCCTGAACAACATGAAGGTAAAACTGTGAGAAGGTCGTTATGACTTCTGTTCCATTCTTTTGGTTAAACACAAAAGAGAAGAGAATCAGCCTCAAAACAAGGCTGTGAATAGCAGCAAATGTCTTCACTGATGGGTTCCAAAAGTTCTCAGTAACTTTCAACAAAATGGTTGGTGTTGAAGAATATTTTTTCCACAAAAGAAAAGATTATTGTTTTGAGGTTTTGTCACTTTTTAGACCAGATACACACTCACGAAAGAATGAAAACATGCGTTCATGTATGTAGCTGTACATGAAAGGTTTTGTTTAATCTGTCACCTAGATCCCGAAGTTGTTGTCAGAGATTCAGCCAGTTTCAGTTGAGGTGGAATGGGTACCAGTTGTGGTTGGTGCACTATTCAAGATGATTGGAACCCCTGTGGTATGCACATTAACTAGTTAAATAAACAAAGTGCTGTATTAATAGAGGGCCAGAGAGAATCCTAAGAAAATTTCAGCATAAAAAATACAAGATGCTCAGAACAACAAAATAATAAGACTCTTTAAATTGTTACATCCTAAATTAACAGAATCTATGTAGTAATTAACCTTATTTTCTGTTTGATTGAATGCACTTCATAATAGAACACTGATAATACAACCTCCACCTGGTTAGCTCAGTTGGGACGTTGCACACGTGGGTTCAAACCCCGGCCAGACCAACACTAAGGGTCTTTAAATGACTGAGAAGAAAGTTCTTTCTTTTCAATGACATCTACAAACAGTTAGACTTTCTAGTCTTCTAGGATGAGGACAAAAAACTAAACTGTAGGTCCCGTCTCACTGCACTTACCTGAGTTATTTCTTTTGGAGCGTAATAGGGCCCACACCACTGTTCGAAGAGAGTAGGGGACGTAGACGTCGGTGATGTGGCCAACCTTACTTGGGCTGGGTGGGTTTTTTCTAAGAAGAGATCTTAAGATACGTGTAAGATAACCACATGATCCTCCTTCAGGTGTCTTAATGCTTACCTGTAAACAGTGTACCATCAAACCTCTTTAATACGGACACCACAGGGACAGAACCAAGTGTCGGCTTTACAGAGGTGTCCATATTATAGAGGTAGGGAATGTGTGATTTTTGGCATTTCTGGGACCAAATGAACTGTCCATAATAGACGGTAGAAGCTCATTGTGCCCAGTCACCCATTTGTTGAGACACTGTAAGGTATTTCCGATAAAATCAAGAGTCGCAATAATTATTATTGATGAAACAACGATCTTAGAGGTTAAAGCGATTATCACATTGTCATTTCAATTAATGTTAATCGTGCGATGACAGTAAAGAAATCTGCCAAAACATGTGTTTTTTATTTTGCTTATTAAACCTGTTGCTTTTAAGTCTTATTTTTCCATTTCCTCTTTTCTGTGCTCTTTATCATGGTTTCTGGAGTGTGCTAGTATCGTTACTACAAAGAAAAGAAAACAATTTCTTGGTACATGTACATATGTATGCAACAATTACGTCGAAAAACCGATGATTTGATAAGAAAAACATGTGACGAAAATGACCTATAGAGAGGCTTATTGCAGTACCAACATCCACAACAGCATGTGCACTTTTATTTATTTGGTCATTCTAGGTTCCTATGAATGCAGTGAGCGATTCAAAACGGAAGTATGGATATCAAGACCTCTTAGACTATGCTGAGCATCATGGAGTTGGATTCCAGTTTACCTCTCATTTTCCCCTTCATTCCTTACTTTCACTTAGAGTGATGATAGTGAATTCTGATGACCGACTCAGGAAAATCAATTGTAAGCTTTCGCCATTTTTACTTTTTCTGAAACACCAGAGTTCTTTAAAGCTGCTTTGGGTGGGAGTAGTACTAGAGATCTTTAGATTCTAAAACATGGGTAACTATAAAGGCATGATTTTCTCAATATTATGGAGCTTTGGCATCGCCGGCAATGACGAAAGCAAAAACGTCACCTTTCAAATGAATTCGCGTTTTTTTCAAATTTTGTCGCGTTTATTCCTTTTCTCTGAAAATATCAGTTATAGGTAAATTTCCCTGGAATTGATTTGTTTCCGAGGGACTTCACTCAAGTTTAGAAAGAGAAAAAAAATTGTCATCGTCTGTTTACGTTCTCCATAAAATGTGAAATTAGGCATTTTCACATCGTAGTCAGGCGGTGATAGCAAAGAAATATACAAGAAAATGTGCAGCGCATACAAAGTTGTCATTTTGACATTCTTGTTGCCATCACCATCATCGTTTCTAAATCTCCTTAATCAAAAGTGCCGATGCGTAACTCAGTATTGTTTTTTTTTTTTTGAAAGGAAAGTGGCAGCCATCGTCATTCGTTTAGCAAATTTAGAATTAAGCAGCAAAAGCAGCATTAAGGCATTCAAAACACTGGAATTTAGGATTTGGACGTTGCAAACATTGGAATTCAGGGGTAAGATGTTGCAAACATTGAATTTCAGAGTTTGCACATCCCACAAATTTGAATTCAGTGTTTGGGCGTTCCATTCTTTACCAGACATTATAATTTAGGGTTTCGGATTCCCAACAGTTGAATTAAAGGTTTACAACTTCCAAACAATTGAGTTTTGGGTTAAGCCGTTGAAATTGAGAGATTGGAATTGAGAGTTTAGACTTCCAAGCATCGGTATTCAGGGTTTAGGCGTTGCAAACATTTCAGGGTGTGGATGTTGAAAACATTGGAATATAGAAATGGAAGCTCCAAATATATTATTGTAATTGAGGGTTTGAACATTTTAAACATTGAAATTTAACGTTCCAAATACCGGAATTTAGGGTTAACGCATTCCAGACATTGGAATTCAGAGTTTAAGCATTCCAAATAATGGAATCCAGCATTTGGACGTTCCAGACAATAGAATTGAGGAATCAAGAATTCTAATTATTGGAAAAGTTTAAATCCAGTACTCCGATGTTTCCTAAAACCAGAATTCCAATAATTGGAAAAGTCAAAATCAAGAATTCCAAAGTTTGCAAAACCCAAAGTTCAGAATTCCAATGATAAGTAAAGCCAAAATTCAAAACTCCAATGTTTGAAAAAGCCAGAATTCAGAATTCCAATGTTTGGAAAAGGCAAAGTTTAGAATTCGCATGATTGGAAAAGGCAAAATTCAGAATTCCGATGTTTAAGTATAGTCTGAATACTCATCCCAGCCATATACAAGTTTGATTGTTGAGCTATTTCCTTTCTCTTAGATGAAGCTGCTTGGAAACATGACAAGGACATTGGTGATCCTCAGGTACTTATTAACCCTCCCCCCGTCCTTCTTACTTCTTAAAATATATAGATTTAGCCAGGGCTAAAAGCGAGGCTCCCATTAATGAATTTATAATTTCAATCAAACAATAAACTTGTATTCCACAATTCAGTTAACTTTAGAGCACATTCGTGTGACTTTTCAGGGAAAGGCTAAGTGATTTTACAAAAAATAATTTGCAAACAGCCCAAGAGTGAACCAAATCTCACATCGAGTTGATAGCCTCATAAGTACACCCAAAAACTGGCAATCATCGTCGATCACATTAATTAAGAGCCATAATGGCTCTTGATCACCGTAGATTAATTAGGCCTGGAAAAAAACTTCCGGCCAAATTTTTTGCGTTCAACAAGTTTATTTTACAGAATCTTGCCAACAAATCTGGGTGCGTGTAAACCAACCTTTTATATCATTTATACATTCCATCTGAGGTGAAACAGTACTATATGAGGCACTGTTTTTATCATACAGACCTCGGACAATAGAATGCACGAGGCGAACGCACGAGACGATAGCCGAGTGCGACTCTAGCCTCTTGAGTGCTTAGCAAACCTCCCAAGTGCATCCATAACTCCATGGTTGCACAGCTGCAACGTTTACCATTTCTTTTATAACATAATCAAAAGAGAAAAACATTGTTTTCCATTAGCCTTCAGTTGAGTCATCGGTCGGAGTTCATGTATGCTGCCATCTGCCCGCGCGTAAACAAATCATGTTCTATGTTTTTCAAAAACTTGCCTTTGAGTTTTTCTTTCGCTGAATCAGCCGTTCTCCGTCTTCAGGTCGATTGCAAAACGTTTTTTGTTCTTATTGTGAATGGCATCTGTCTACTTGCTCTTAATATTAGGGTAAAAACTTTGAGGGAAAACTATATCTGCAACTATAAACACCAACTAAAAAGACTAAAAAATAAGCTAAAACTAAATAAATGAAATAATTATCAAGCTTATTTATGTGACAATTTTTGAAATAAACGTAAAGTAGAAATGAGAAAATTTGACAGTAATTCCTTTAGAATAACAGGTAACACTAATTTCAGCCCTCGCTGAAGCTGTTGTTTTTGGACTGTTCCCTGAACGACTGTTATGAATGAACACTGAGGAACAAAATAATACACACAGAAGTTATTTGTTGAAAAATTTATTTGAAAACCCAAATGTTTCTGTACTCAAATGAAATTTGCTTATTCCAGCGTTATGTGCCCGTTTAAACTCAACTAAAATTGTTAATCGATGCGATGAAAACTTCACAACAAAGCTGTCTCGAATTTGAGCGTGTTTCCTAAAATATTTGCTTGAATTTAGCATCAGCTTGACCAAAAAGTCAATAACACAATGGTAATTGATAAATTTACATTTCAAACAGACTTTCTCCTCTATACAAAAACACACAAAATGTACCTTAAATCTTTGCTCGCTCGATTTTCCTCCAGCCAATTCTAGCCGCAAGGAAAACAGTGATTAATTCATCCAGGGCAAATTTGTCGCTTGATCTTTTGTCTTTTTTCCTTCAAAACGACAGCTTAGTATTTTCTTCACCTTCCACTTTTCATCTGTGCATTTCATCGGTGTATTTTACCATCAGGAGAGGAGATTTGTTGAATTTGCCTAAATTTTACCGCGCTAGCTCAGTTTCTTAGCGTGCACCCACGGGCAAATGGTAGTGGCTAACTGACCAATCAGAGCGCGCGATTTACTTTTGTTATGTTATAAATTGCTATTCAGGACGATCGAAGCGCGCGTGGGCTTTAGCCGTTAACCGTTGAAAAAATTTTCAAAATCATCTATACGGCCAGCCGGTTCTGACTTTTACAGTGCTAGCAGTGGCGAGTGTTTGAATGAACATTAACAGAGTTACGCTCCAGCATAATAAAGAATATCAGTATGTTTATTTTTTATTTTAAAACGGTTTAACGCGCGGCATTTTGATTACTCCGGGAAGCGTTACTGAACGACTGAAAACAATCGGCACAACGATTAAAATTACAAGAGGGAGTACTAACAATCAATAAAAGAAATATAATTCGGTGAAACATATACAGAGACGACAATTTTCATTCAGGAAGACAAGTATTAAAGTGTCTCTAAAAATCCTGGGTCTTCGAGCTTAAAGCTGAAGTTTATGTTTTAAGCCGGCTTCCCGGTGTTTGCTTTTTTCAAAGACGAACTCGAGGCAAGAAAATCGCTCAAACCTTTCTTTTACAGCCAGAATTATAACTAAATATTCTTGAAAACGTTTTCTTTCTATTTGCGGTGAGAAAATGTCTAAAGCCTCTTTAAAGATTTGTAAGCTTATAACAAACCTGATACTCGGTCAGATCACTGTCTCAAATCTTACAAACGTGCGTAAACAAAATAGCCGCATAAACTACGCTCGACTTCATTAAATTAGGAATAAAAAACAAACATCAAATACAATAATTACTTAGGCTTACCACTTGAGATGCAGCTCCTGAAAGGTTACAAGTAAGGCCAGTATCGCTTCAGACTTTGCAACCCTCTTACTCATTAAGCAAGATGAAAACGAAAACGATGCCATCCGAAATCGGATTTCCCACTTTGACTCAACCAAAAACCCAATAAACAAACTAGCCATGAATAACAGAAGACTCCTGATAGCAGCTGAATTTCATTATGTACATCCAGTGGAAAAAGAAAGTTAAAAACATCACAAGTTGACACAAAACTCTGTCAGCTTCAGCTGTCAAAGTAAACAAGATTCAAGATGCTGCATAAATTTTCCGCATGAACTCACCTGTCAAATTTTGACCAATCAGAGCATAAAAATTGGACGTAGAGCGTGACCAACGGGTGAACATGGCGAGAAAAGTCAAAAGCAACTGTCTTCCCTGCCTGTAGCAGCTAGCTGAATTTTCGCGTCTGAGGTAAGTTTGAAATCAAAATTTTAATTGTGCGGCACATAAACACAACATATTTCATACGAATTTTAAAAAAATCAAACTTGAGCCTGCGATCATTTGAAAACCAGTACCTTATCAGCGGATAACTTCAAATAAACACTTGACCTCGATGGGTCGACACCTGAGCCCGCGATACAGTCAAGTGATACTGGTCAGCGGATACCTTTTTTGACAGCTGTCAATAGATCACAACATTGACGTGTATCAGTTTTCCTGTGCCCCGATCCCAAACTAGCTGGAAAGTATGAGACTGAACATTGATCGCGATCTAGTAAAATAATTAACTGGTCAGCGGACAGCTTCCAAATAAATCACGTCACCTCAATGAGTTGACACATGAGCTTGCGATATGGTCATGGGATACTGGTCAGTGGCTATCCTGTTTTGACAGCTGTCAATTGACCATATTGTGAATGTCCAATGTAAAAGATGTGGACTTGGCAAGACACGCCTGAGACACCCCTCCCTTCCTTTTGATAGTCTCCCCTACCCCACCCGTACAATCCGTAGACGTACGTTCGGTCAATCACGTGACAACCAAAGGAAAAGAGGTTGACCATAATCTATGGGTATGGGGCTCTGTCCCACGCGCGCTTCGCGCGCGTGGGAGCTCCGCTATCATCTGCCCCCTTAGGTCTATTAACAGTTTAGTCTTCTGTTATAAAACTCTTTTAAAATGGTCATTTAAGTCACTAGTTAATTGCATGTACTTTACCGTTTTACGTACGAGGTTGGTAGATTATTGCGGAGCTCCAGGCGAAGCACCGCGCGTGGGCGGAGCCCCATAGCTAAGGAAATGTGGTAATCTACCCATCCGAGAAAATTTGGTAATCACGTGACCGTACACCGACCGACCGTCCTTCCGCACCACAGGCATACCAATGTATAATAACTCAATCAATAGGTATGGCAACCCAAATGCAACTCAAGGTTTCATTTGGAAGGAAATCACATGACCGCCCGGACTTTTAGAAAGAAAAAAAAAACAACATGTTCGTGTCTTTTTCGGCGTTATTTTTTATGTTTACACTAACGTGGATAACAGAGAAAGAGCTAGAGTAAGTTATTGAAAACGAAGGTGGCGAATTTCGTAGGAAGAAAAACATGGAAATTCAAAGCGGCGGTGAGAAAATGAGAAATGCTAGCGGCCAGCAAGGTGAAAATGAGTGGCAGTGACAAATAAAATAAAAGCGAACATGAACACAGGAAACAAAATATTGGGTAAACACATACAACAATTCCTCCATAAAAATAATGTAATTAGGAAATTTGACGCTTTAGTCGTACAAAACAGCGTTGTAGTCGTGCAAAACAACAGCAGGGAAAAGACACAAAAGCGTGCTGCATGTGCAAATTTGTTTTTTGCTAATTAGAAGAAAAAGTATCCTGCACGTGCAATTTGTTTGTTTGCTAATTAGATCTCTTAGTCTTTTCATTGCCGTCCCTGTTTAGCATTACACGATTTAATTTTTTTTTTTTGTTCACACGTGTTATTAACCAGAGCTTCGCTTTTAGCCCTGGCTAAATCTATATATTATGGGCCAACATATATAAAACATGTACTTTTTTGAGGGTCAATGTATTAAGTACGAAAGTACTAATTGGGGAGATTAATTTCTATGTCTCCTACTGGAGACGGGATCGCCATCTTGCGTTGCATCCGAGCCACGCGCGCGTAGGATTAGTCATTTGCAAGGCAGAGGCAATGAGTAATGGTCCGGGACCAACGACCTTCCACCCTGTAGTCAAGCTCTCTTCCGACTAAGCTAATCCTGACTGGTTTAAATAATTTTTTTATTTTTTTCAGCGATTAAATGTGTTTAAATCAATCAACCAGAACTTTTTTTTGGCTTCCTGGCTTACTGCCCTTCTTAAAAGAATTTTTTTTGCTTTACACCTTTACATTATGAATAAGGCTATTCACACTATATCGGGTAGCTTTTGCGCCGGCACAAAAACCATAGCGGATAGGACTTTTACAAATAAGAACAAAGATTTCGGTGCGAATGCTGTAACGGAGCGAAGCTGCTCTGCACCGATCCCTAAGGTCGAGAGTCACATATCAGATAAGTGTTCACACTATACATACAGGATAGATTTTCCCGTCGGCAAGAAAGGCTATCCAGTATAGTGCAAACATGTCCTTAAACATGAAAATGAATACATCAGGTTTTTCTTAGGTTCTGTCGTCTGTTCTTTCTGATGCTGGGTTTGATAGCAAGACATTGATAGCAGCGACACAAGATCAACGAGTGAAGGATCAGTTGCGAAAAAACACTGAGAGGTGAAAATCAGCTTTTTGATGCTTTTTTTTTAACAATCTTTGAAAACCATTAGATTAGAGACCTTTAGATTCCACGACGAGAACGAGTACGAGTACGAGACCGAGTTAAAGTGTTTTAGCATACTGTCATCAAATAGACACCCCAGAAGGCTTTATTGTATTTTTTTCAACAAAAGGTTGGCAGTATTATGTTTTTCGAAGTAGGTTAAGCCTGCTCCCGATCGCAAAATTATAAAACTTCTCACATTTGAGAACTTGTTTCCGCCATTGCGACCTCATCGTTTGGCGATAACAACGACTATCTCGTTTTCCCGCGAAAATGACGCTGCTTCACGCGTGAGCACTAACTAGTAATCGTACTCGCCTTTGTCTTGAGAATCTTAAGATCTTTATTAATACCAATACAGCTGATGACGTTGAATAATGACAGAAAGAGTGAAGTCACTTTTTTCTTACTAGACTCTCTTATTACAAAAACTAAAGCTAGGTGCAAACGGACGCAACCGTTTCAATCCTCCTTGGGACACAACATTGTTGGCAGTTGTTTCGTCCGTTTGCACTTGGCTTAACCGATTATCAAAATGTTCAAATAACTCCTGCATACGACACGTGGAGTTGTTACCGTGAACTCGGCTAAAAAAAACCCTGCTACCGCCCACCTAGGTACGAGGTCTTCAGGCCACAAAACCCGGAGACATTCACACACTCTTATTATACTTTTTTCCGTTTTGTTCAGAGCTTTTGAAGCCGGACTTTGCGGAGTTCCGAGTTACCAAGTCAATGATGGGTCAGTGATCTGGGGACAAGACAGACTAAATATTGTCGCCGATTTGCTTTGCGGCTGGGAAGATCACTTGAAACCAATCGGCAATGATAGTAAACTTTAAGTAAGGGAGAATCGTGGCACAAACCAAGCCAATTCGCGTATTTTGAAGCGAAATGTAGTAACCGAAGTTACCGCATTTAGTTAAAACAAGAAACTACAGGAGTCAAGACTGCAGCAGAATCTTATTATGTTCAAAGTTCGGGAGCGCTGAGTAAATCTAAAGCCAGTATCAACTGCGTAACTTTACAATCAAGCAGCTGTTAGTTCAGTGGTTTATAGACCACAGGCATGTTTACGAAAATTAATTAGTCGATAAAATTATGACAAAAATAAGGCCTATTTAATAAGCATACCATCCTGCATACTTGAAACTGAAATATATACTTCTTATATTTATAACTTTTTTGTTCCATCTTTAAACTTCCCTTCCTGTCTTCCCCCGCAAGGATCCGTTTTTGTCATTGAATATGATCCTTGGTCAAATCTTCCGTTTTTTCGATCCGCTGAGATTCAGAAATCAGTTTCAAAGCGCATCCTTTGTTTCCCGAGAGCAGGGCTCAAAATTGATGCTCGCAAACTCGTAAAATGCGAGTGATTTTGATAATCTACGAGTCAGAAAAATATCCACTAGCAAAAGTTTGCGAGTTAGAATCATCCACGTCTCCCAAACAAAGGAGAAGAATTTGCTAGTGGAAAAAATTCTTTCTAGCAAAACTTTGCAAGTGCACTAAAAAGTTAACTTCAAGCAGCCTGCTTGATTAAAGTTTAGGTCTTGGCACCCTCGATAGCAGTTGTCGCCCCACCCTCCTACCCGCAGCGATGGGACATACCTCGTATTCTCTCCTGGTCCGCCGACTCGCATAGCCTCAGGCCGATTCTCCCGTCACAGTGACACTAATGACAACAACAGCGACAACAGGGACAACAACAATAAAAACATCGACAGTGACAACAGCGACATAAGTGACACAACGACAACAGAGAAAACAGTGGCAACAGCGACAACAGTGACAAAAAGTCACAACAGCAACAACAGTGCCAACAATGACAACATCGACAACACTGATAAAAGCGACATTGACAACAGCAACAAAAGTAAGAAAAGCGACACCACAGACAACGCAGACAACAGTGACAACAACAACAACAGTGAGAATGGTGACAACTGTGACAACATCGACAACAGTGATAACAGTGAAAACAGTGACAGCGACAACACTGCCAACAGTTACAACAGTGACAATAGTCACAACAGTGCCAAGTGTTACAACTGCAACAACAGTGACTACTGTATCAACTGTGACAATGGTGCCAACAGCGACAACAGTAACAACAGCAAGAACAGGGATAAAAGTGAACAGCGACAACAGTGGCAAAAGTGACAATTGTGCCAGAAGCGATAACCGTGACAAAAGGGAGAACAAAAACAACAGCAAAAAGAATGTTCACAGTGACAACTACGAAAACAGCGACAACAGTGCCAATACTGCCAATTGCGACAACAGTGTTAACAGTGATAATACTGACAAAAGCAAATACGGCGAGAAAAGCAATAACAGTGTCAACAGTAACACCAGCTTCAACAGGGACAACTATGACAATAGTGACATCAGGGACAACAGTGCTAAGAGTATGAAACTCCTTTTAACCCCTTAAAACCCCTTGTAGCCCTTTCTGACTCCCTGTAACCTGTTGTCGCCCCTCAAACCCCCCTATAACTCCTTGTAACCCTTTGTAACGCCCGGTAACCCCTTGTAACCGCTTGTAACGCCATTTAACTCCTTTTACCCTTTGTAACCCCTGGTAAACGCTTGTAAGCCCCCGTAACCTCCTGTTAACCCCTGTAACTCGTCGTAACCTCTTGAAACCCCCTATAAGCCTTTGTGACCCCTTGTAACCCCCTGTAACCCTTTGTAACCCATGTAACCTCTTGTAACCCCTTGTAACAAGCTCTATTCCCTACAACACCTTGTAACCCCCTGTAACCTTTTGTAACCTCTTTTAATTCTCTGTGAAAACCTAAGATGGACTGGCATCTCATCCAGCCCCTTGTAACCCCCCTGTAACCCCTCTTAATCCCCTATAACCCCTTTTAACCCCCTGTAACTCCTTGTAATCCCTTGTAACCTTTTGTAACCTTTTGTTATCCCCTGTAACCCATTGTAACCCCTTCCAATTCCCTGTGACACGCTGTAATCCCTTGTAATTTCATGTAACCCCCTGTTGTCGTGACCAGTCTGGTTGGTAAATAACGAAGTATTACAACGGACTGAACCTTAAACGATAGCTTTATTCCGCCTACAGGACTCGTGGTCCTTAACAAATACAGTCAGGCATTCCATGCACTACTGAGGGGGAATCTAGGTCCTAATACAATACATCTATCCCCGTGGACTAGCAAATGTCGACAATGATCTCTGAGATTTCAGTGTCTCTAGAGTTTAAGTATAATAGTGTTTGAGATAGCTTGGAGCCACTCTGTGTCTCTGGGACCTCCTAAGTGGGACTTCGGGCTCAACAAGATTTGGTTCCGGTATCACCACACTCTGCTGTGGGGTCGGTTTATCCTGCTTGGTGGGCTTTCCAGTCATCACCACCTCCAGTATACTTGGTGTATCATCATGTGTAGCACCATTCTCCAGCAGTTTTTGTACATGAGATGCATTGCGTGAGTATTGGGCTCCTCCTGGAGATTGCACGATCAAGCTGTTCCCATCCTTGTTTACCACAGAGTACGGACTTGGCTCAAAACTGTTGTACTAGTACTTGGTCTCCAGGAAGTACCTCTGAGTACCTTGCATTTCTCTGCATGTCAGCGTACGCTTTGTTATTACCCATCTGTTCATTGTCCCTATCAGGCACGTCTTGTTCGACGTGTACATCGTTTAGCTCAGGACGTTTGGTGCGCATTTTCTGAATAACTCCCCTGCGCCCTGTGCGCATACCCGAAGTTAACAGTGGGAGAAACTCTTTATGCGTCAACGTTGATATTGTGCCAAGAGTCCCTTGTAGTCTATACATTCCACGAACTCAAGCGATAATACATCACGTTTTTTCTTAAGTTCTGTCATCTGTTCTTTCTGATGCTGGGTTTGATAGCAAGGCATTGACAGCAGCGACACAAGATCAACGAGTAAAACGTTACTTGCGAGAAAACTCTTACAGGTGAGATTCAGCCCTTTAATACTTTCCACTTTTACTTGTCTTTTATAAAAAGGAGTTATGGGGGGGTTACAGGGGTTTACAAGGGGTTGCAGGGGCTTAAAGGGATTACAGGAGGTAACAAGGGGCTACAGGGGGTTAAACGTTAAAACAAACAGTTACAGGGGGTTACAACGGGTTACAGGAGGTTACAAGGGGTTACAGAGGGTTAAAGGGATTACAGGGGGCAACAAGGGGTTACAGGGGGGTACAAGAGGTTACAGGGGGTTACAAGGAGTTACAGAGGGGTACCAAGGGGTTACAGGGGGTTACAAACTGTTCCAAGGGGTTACAGGGGGTTAGAAGGGGTTAAAGAGGCTTACACGGGGTTACAATAGTTACAAGAGGTTACCGGGGGTAAGAAAGGGTTACAGGGGATTACAAGCGGTTACAGAGGCTTACAAGGGGTTGCAGGGGATAACAAGGGGTTACAAGGGGTTAGAGGGGGTTACAAGGGTTAAAGGGGCTTCCTCGGGGTTACAATAGTTACAAGGGGTTACCGAGGGTAAGAAGGGGTTACAGGGGATTACAAGTGGTTCCAGGGGCTTACAGGGGGTAACAAGGGGTTACAGGAGGTTACAAGCATTTATAAACAGTTACAAGGGGTTGCAGATGGGTACAAGGGGTTGCACGGGGTTACAAGGGGCTACAGAGGATTACAAGGGGTTACAGGGAATTACAATTAGTTACAGGAGGTTCCGAGGGATTACAGGGGGTTAGAAGGGGTTAAAGAGGGGTAACAAAAAGTTACAGGGGGTTACAAGAGGTTAGAAGGGGTTAGGGGGGGATACAAGGGGTTATTGGGCCTTACACGGGCCTTACAAAAAGTTTCAAGGAGTTATAGGGGGTTACAGCGACTTACAAGGGGTTACAGACGGTTACAAGGGGTTACAGGGGGTGACAAGGGGTTACAGGGGCTTACAAAAGGTTACAGTGGGTACAAGGGGTTATAGGGGGTTACAAGAGGTTACAGGGGATAACAAGGGGTTACAGAGGCTTACACGGGGTCACAAGGGAGTACAGAGGGTTACAAGGGGTTACAAAGGCGTACACAGGGTTACTAGGGAGTCCAGGAGGTTACAAGGGGTTACCGGGGGTAACAAGAGGTTACAGAGGGTTAGAAGGGGTTAAAGAGGGGTAACAAAAAGTTACAGGGGGTTACAAGAGGTTAGAAGAGTTTAGGGGGTTACAAGGGGTTATTGGGGCTTGCACGGGGTTACAAGGGGTTACAAGGAGTTACAGGGGGTTACAGGCGGTTACAACGGGTTACAGGGGGTTACAAAAGGGTTACGGGGGGTTACAAGGGGTTACAGGGGGGTAGAAAAGGTTACAGTGGGTAACAAGGGGTTACAGGTTGTTACAGGGGGTTACAAGGGGTTACAGCTTGTTACAGTGGGTTACAAGGAGTTACAGAGGCTGTCACGGGGTTACAAAGGTTTAGAGGGGGTTACAAGGGGTTTCAGGGGGTTACAGAGGTTACAAGGGGTTACAAGGGGTTACAGGAGGTTACAAGGCGTTACAGGGGGTTACTAAGGGTCGCCAGGGGTAACAAGCGGTTACAGGGGGTTACAAGGGGTTAATTTAAGTTTTTTATCATTAGGTTTAACATTGTGTACGATCGTTTTTAGTTTAGTTTTTAGGTATATATCTATATCTCTATGTAAGTTAAATAATGAACGGCTTTTCGGTAGAACAGATGCTCTATTTTAAGTTATTTAATAAAGTTAGCGTGGATAAATAAAGTTTTTACTCACTCACAGGGATTTACACGGGGTTACAAGGGTTACAAGGGTTACAAGAGGGTACCGGAGGTAACAAGGGGTTACAGCGGGTTACTAGGGGTTAATGGGGGTTACGAGAGGTTACTCTTGGTAACAAAGGGTTACAGGGGGTTACAAGGGGTTACACGGGGTTACAAGGATTTACATGAGGCTACAACGGGTTACAAAGGGTTACAGGGGCTTAAAAGGGGTTACAAAGGGTACAGGGGGTTTCAGTGGGTTACAGGTGGTTACATGGGGTAACAAGGGGTTACAGGGAGTTACAAGGGGTACATTTAAGTCTTTTCATTAAGGGGTTACAAAAGGGTATCAGATCGCTGGATCTGTATATCGCTGGATCGGTAGATTGCTGGATCTGTAGGTCGCTGGATCTGTAGATCGATGGATCTGGAGATCGATGGCTCTTTAGATCGCTGGATCAGTAGATCGCTTTATCGGTAGATCTCTGGATCTGTAGATCGCTCGATCGGTAGATTCCTAGATGGCTGGATCGGTAGATTCCTTTATCGGTAGATCTCTGGATATGTAGATCGCTGGATCGGTAGCTTCCTGGATTGGTAGATCGCTGAATCGGTAGATCGATGGATCTATAGATCGCTGGATCGGTAGATCGATGGATCTATAGATTCCTTGATCGGCAGATCGCTGGATCGGTAGATCGCTGGATCGGTAGATCGATGGATCCGTACATCGATAGATCTATAGATTGCTCGATCGCTAGATCGCTGGATCGGTAGATCGCTGGACCTGTAGATCGCTGGATCAGTAGATCGATGGATCGGTACATCGATGGATCTATAGCTTGCTGGATAGGTAGATTGATGAATCTATAGATCGCTGAATCGGTAGATCGATGGATCCGTATATCGCTTGATCTGTAGATTGCTGGATCAGTAGATCTATGGACGTGTATATCGATGGATCTATAGATCGCTGGATCGATACATCGATTGATCTATAGATCGCTGGATCGGTAGATCGATAGATCTACAGATCGCTCGATCGGTATATCCCTGGATCTGTAGATAGCTCGATCTCTAGATCGCTAGATCGATGGATCCGTAGATTCCTGGATCTGTAGATTGTTGGATCAGTACATCTATGGATCTGTAGATCGATTGATCTTTACATCGCTGCATCGGTAGATAGATTTATCTATAGATCGCTGGATCGGTAGATCGCTGGATCATTAGATCGATGGATCCGTAGATTACTGAATCAGTAGATCTTTGGATCTGTAGATCGATGGATCTATAGATCGCTGGATCGATAGATCGCTGGATCGGTAGATCGATGGATCCGTAGATCGATGGATCTATAGCTTGCTGGATAGGTAGATCGATGGATCTATAGATCGCTGGATCGGGAGATCGATGGATCGGTAGATCCATGGATCCGTAGATTGATGGATCTATAGCTTGCTGGATAGGTAGATCGATGGATCTATACATCGCTGGATCGGGAGATCGATGGATCGGTAGATCGATGGATCCGTAGATCGATAGATCTATAGATCGCTGGATTGGTAGATCGATGGATCTATAGGTCGCTGGATCGATGGATCCGTAGATCAATAGATCTATAAATCGCTGGATGTGTAGACCCCTGGACCTGTACATCGCTGCATCGGTACATCGATGGATCCGTAGATCGATGGATCTATAGATCACTGGATCGGTAGATCGATGGATCTATAGATTGCGGGTTCGGTAGATCGCTGGATCTGTACATTGCTGGATAGGTAGATCGATGGATCTATAGATTGATGGATCCGTATATCGCTTGATCTGTAGATTGCTGGATCAGTAGATCTATGGACATGTACATCCATGGATCTATAGATCGCTGGATCGATACATCCATTGATCTATACATCACGGGATCGATAGATCGATGGATCTACACCTCGCTGGATCGGTATATCCCTGAATCTGTAGATAGCTCTATCTCTAGATCGCTGGATCGGTAGATCGATGGATCCGTAGATTGCTGGATCTGTAGATTGTTGGATCAGTAGATCTATGTATCTGTAGATCGATGGATCTATAGATCGCTCGATCGGTAGATCAATTTATGTATAGATCGCTGGATCGGTAGATCACTGGATCGTTAGATCGATGGATCCGTAGATTGCTGGATCTGTAGATTCCTGGATTGGTACATCGCTGAATCGGTAGATAGATGGATCTATAGATCGCTGGATCGGTAGATCGATGGATCTATAGATTGCTGGATCTCTACATTGCTGGATCAGTAGATATTTGGATCTGTAGATCGATGGATCTATAGATCCCTGGATCGATGGATCCGTAGATCGATGGATCTATAGATCGCTGCATCGGTAGATCGATAGATCTAAAGATCGCTGGATCGGGAGATCGATTGATCTATAGATCGGTGGATCCCTAGATCGCTGGATTGGTAGATCGATGGATCCGTAGATCGATGGATCTACAGATCGCTGGATTGGTAGATCGATGGATCTATAGGTCGCTAGATCGGTAGATTGCTGGATCTGCAGATCGCTGGATCGGTAGATCGATGGATCTGTAGATCGATAGATCTATAGATCGCTGGATGTGTAGATCGCGGGACCATTAGATCGCTGGATCGGTAGATCGATGGATCGGTAGATCGCTGGATGGGTAGATCCATGGATCTATAGATTGCTGGTTCGGTAAATCGCTGGATTGGTAGATCGCTGGATCTGTAAATTGCTGGATAGGTAGATCAATGGATCTATAGATCGCTGGATCGGTAAATCGATTTCTCCGTATATCGCTTGATCTGTAGATTGCTGGATCAGTAGATCTATGGACGTGTAGATCGATGGATCTATAGATCGCTGGATGATACATCGATTGATATATAGATCGCTGGATGTGTAGATGGCTGGACCTGTAGATCGCTGGATCTATAGATTGCTGGATCAGCAGATCGCTGCATCTGTAGATCGCTGGATCGGAACAGCGATGGATCCGTAGATCCATGGATCTATAGATTGCTCGATCGGTAGATCGCTGGATCGGTAGATTACTAGACCTGTAGATCGCTGGATCGGAAGATCGATTGATCCGTACATCGATAGATCTATAGATCGCTGGAGCTGTAGATCGATAGATCTATAGATCGCTGGATGTGTAGATCGCTGGGTCTGTAGATCGATGGATCCGTAGATCGATGGATCTATAGATCGCTGAATCGGTAGATCGATGGTCGTATAGATTGCTGGTTCGGTAGATCGCTGGATCGGTAAATTGCTGGATCTCTAGATTGCTGCATAGGTAGATCGATAGATCTATAGATCGCTCGATCGATAGATCGCTGGATCGGTAGATCGATGGATCTATAACCTGCTGCATAGGTAGATCGCTGGATCTATAGATCGCTGAATCGGTAGATCGATGGATCTAGAGATCGCTGGATCGGGAGATCGATGGATCTATAGATCGCGGGATCCCTAGATCGCTGGATCGGTAGATCGATGGATCTATAGATTGGTGGATCGGCAGATCGCTGGATCGGTAGATCGATACATCCGTAGATCGATGGATCTATAGATTGCTCGATGCGTAGATCGCCGGACCGGTAGATCTCTGGATCCCTAGATTCCAATATCCGTAGATCGATCGATCTATAGCTTGCTGGATAGGTAGACCGTTGGATGTATAGATCGCTGGATCGGTAGATCGAGGGATCTATAGATCGCTGGATCCCTAGATCGCTGGATCGGTATATCGATGGATCCGTAGATCGATGGATCTATGCATCGCTGGATTATTAGATCGATGGATCTCTAGGTCGCTGGGTTGGTAGATCGCTGGTTCTGTAGATCGCTGAATCGGTAGATCTATGGATCCGTAGATCGATAGATCTATAGATCGCTGGATGTGTAGATCGCTGGACCTGTAGATCGCTGGATCGGTAGATCGTTAGATCTGTAGATCGATGGATCTATAGGTCGCTTGATCGGTAGATCCATGGATCTAAAAACTGCTGGTTTGGTAGATCGCTGGATCTGTAGATTGCTGGATAGGTAGATCGATGGATCTATACATTGCTGGATCAGTAGATCGATGGATCCGTATATCGCTTGATCTGTAGATTGCTGGATCAGTAGATCTATGGACGTGTGCATCCATGGATCTATAGATCGCTGCATCGCTGGATCGGTAGATCCATGGATCTAGAGATTGCTGGATTGGTATATCCCTGGATCTGTAGATAGCTCGATCTCTAGATAGCTGGATCGGTAAATCAATGGATCTGTAGATTGTTGGATCAGTAGATCTAAGGATCTGTAGATCCATGGATCTATAGATCGCTGGATAGGTAGGTCGATAGATTTGTATATCGCTTGATCTGTAGATTGCTGGGTCAGTAGATCTATGGACGTGTACATCACTTGATCTATAGATCGCTTAATCGGTAGATCAATGGATCTACGGATCGGTGGATCGGTATATCCCTGGATCTGTAGATAGCTCGATCTCTAGATCGCTGGATCGGTAGATTGATGGATCCGTAGATTCCTGGATCTGTAGATTGTTGGATCAGTAGATCTATGGATCTGTTAATCGATGGATCTATAGATCGCTGGATCGGTAGATCGCTAGATCGGTAGATCCATTGATCTATAGATCGCTGGATTTGTAGATCGCTGCATCTGTAGGTCGGTGGATCGGAAGATCGCTGCAGCTGTCGGTCGCTGGATCGGTAGATCGCTGGATCTGTAGATCGCTGGATCGGTATATTGATGGATCTTTGGATCCCTGGATTGGTAGATCAATGGATCTATACATTGCTGGATCTGTAGATCGGTGGATCGTTAGATCGATGGATTTATAGATCGTTTTATCGGTAGATCGCTGGATGTGTAGATCGCTGGATCTATAGATGGCTGGATCGGTAGATGGCTGAATCTGTAGATCGCTGGGTCGGTAGATCCATGGATCTTTAGATTGCTGGATAGGTACATTGCTGGATCTACAGATCGCTGGATCTATAGATCGATGGATCTATAGATCGCTGCATCTGTAGATCGCTGGATCTATAGACGGCTGGATCGGTAGATGGCTGAATCTGTAGATCGCTGGATGGGTAAATCTATGTATCTATAGATCCCTGGATGTGTAGATCGCTGGATCTATAAATCATTGGATCGGTAGATCGCTGCATCTGTAGATCACTCGATCGGCAGATGGATGGATCTTTAGATTGCTGGATCGGTAGGTCGATGGATCTATAGCTCGCTGGATCGGTAGATCGATGGATCTACAGATCGCTGGATCTGTAGATCGCTGGATCGGTAGATCGATGGATCTATAGATCGCTGGATCGGTAGATGGCTGAATCTGTACGTCGCTGGATCGGTAGATCCATGGATCTATAGATCGCTGAATCTGTAGATCGTTTGAGAGGTAGATCGCTCGATTGGTAGATCGATGGATTTGTAGATCGCTCGAACGGTAGATCGATGGATCTATAGATCGCTGGATTGGTAGATGGATGGATCTGTAGACCGCTGGATCGGTAGATCGATGGATGTATAGATTGCTGAATCTTTAGATCGCTGGATCTGTAGATCTCTATATCGGTAGATCCATGGATCTATAGATCGCTCGATGTGTAGATGGCTGAATCAGTAGATCGATGGATCGGTAGATCGCTGGATCTGTAGATCGCTAGATCGGTAGATTTGTGGATCTATAGATCGCTGGATTTGTAGATCGCTGCATCTGTAGGTCGGTGGATCGGTATATCGCTGCATCTGCCGGTCGCTTGAGCGGTAGATTGCTGGATCTGTAGATCGCTGGATCTTTAGATCCCTGGATTGGTAGATCAATGGATCTATAGATCGATGGATCTGTAGATCGCTGGATGTGTACATTGGAGGATCTATAGATCACTGGACCGGTAGATCGCTGCATCTGTAGATCACTCGATGGGTAGATCGATGGATCTTTAGATCGCTGGATCGGTAGCTCGATGGGTCTGTAGATCGCTGGATCGGTAAATCGATGGATTTATTGATCGCTGGTTTGAGATCGCTCGATCGGTAGATCAATGGATCTATAGATTGCTGGATCTGTACGTCGCTGGATCGGTATATCCATGGATCTATAGATCGCTGAATCTTTAGATCGTTGGATAGGTAGATCGCTCGATGGGTAGATCGATGGATTTGTAGATCGCTAGAACGGTAGATCGATGGATCTATAGATCGCTGGACCGGTAGATGGATGGTTCTCTAGATCGCTGGATCGGTAGAGCGAGGGATATATAGATTGCTAAATCTTTAGATCGCCGGATCGGTAGATCGCTGGATCTGTTGATCGCTAGATCGGTAGATCCATGGATCTATAGATCGCTGGATGTGTAGATCGCTGCATCTGTAGGCTGCTGGATCGGTAGATCGCTGGATCTGTAGATCGACGGATCTTTAGATTGCTGGATAGGTACATTGCTGGATCTACAGATCACTTTGATCTATAGATCGATGGATCTATAGATCGCTGCATCGGTAGATCGCCGGATCTGTAGATCGCTGGATCGGTAAATCCATGGATCTACAGATCGCTGGGTGTGTAGATCGCTGGATCTATAAATCACTGGACCGGTAGATCGCTGCATCTGTAGATCACTCGATCGGTAGATCGATGGATCTTTAGATTACTGGATCGGTAGGTCGATGGATCTATAGATCGCTGGATCTGTAGATCGCTTGATCGGTAGATTGCTGGATAGGTACATTGCTGGATCTACAGATCGCTGGATCTGTAGATCGCTGGATCTATGGATTGCTGGATCGGTAGATCGCTGAAACTGTAGATCACTAGATTGGTAGATCCGTGGATCTATACATCGGTGGATATGTAGATCGCTGGATCTATAGATCGCTGGATCGGTAGATCGCTGCATATATAGATTGCTGGATCGGTAGATCGCTGAATCTGTAGATCACTGAATCGGTAGATCCGTGGATCTATACATCGGTGGATGTGTAGATTGCTGGATCTATAGATCGCTGGATGGGTAGATCGCTGTATCTGTAGATCGCTCGATCGGTAGATCGATGGAATTTGAGATCGCTGGATCGGGAGATCGACGGATCTATAGATGGCTGGATCTGTAGATCGCTGGATCGGTAGATCGATGGATCTATAGATCGCTGGATCTGTAGATCGATGGATCTACAGATTGCTGGATCTGTAGATCGCTGGATCTATAGATTGCTAGATCGGTAGATCGCTGAATCTGTAGATCACTGGATCCGTAGATCCGTGGATCTATACATCGGTGGATGTGTAGATCGCTGGATCGGTAGATCGCTGCATCTATAGATTGCTGGATCGGTAGATCGCTGAATCTGTAGATCACTGGCTCGGTAGATCCGTGGATCTATACATCGGTGGATGTGTAGATCGCTGGATCGGTAGATCGCTGCATCTGTAGATCGCTGGATCGGTAGATCGATGGAATTTTAGATCGCTGGATCGGGAGATCGATGGATCTATAGATGGCTGGATGTGTAGATGGCTGGATCGGTAGATCGATGGATCTATAGATCGCTCTTTCTGTAGATCGCTGGGTCGGTAGATCGATGGATCTCTAGATCGCTGGATCTGTACGTCGCTGACTCTGTAGATCGTTGGATCGGTAGATCGCTCGATGGGTAGATCGATGGATTTGTAGATCGCTGGAACGGTAGATCGATGGATCTATAGATCGCTGGACCGGTAGATGGATGGATCTGTAGATCGCTGGATCGGTAGATCGATGGATGTATAGATTTCTGAATCTGTAGATCGCTGGATCGGTACATTGCTGGATCTGTAGATCGCTAGATCGGTAGATTGATGGATCTATGAATCGCTGGATCTGTAGATCGATGGATCTGTAGATTGCTGGATCAGTAGATCGATGGATCTATAGATTGCTGGATAGGTAGATCGATGGATCTGCAGATCTCTGGATCGGTAGATCGATGGATCTATAGATCGCTGGATCTGTAGATCGCTGGATCGGTAGATCGATGGATCTGTAGATCGCTGGATCGGTAGATCGCTGGATCGGTAGATCGCTGGATCGGTAGATCGATGGATCTATAGATCGCTGGATCTGTAGATCGCTGGATCGGTAGATCGCTGGATCTGTAGATCGCTGGATCGGTAGATCGCTGGATCTGTAGATCGCTGGATCGGTAGATCGCTGGATCTATAGATCGCTGGATCGGTAGATCGCTGGATCTGTAGATCGCTGGATCTGTAGATCGCTGGATCGGTAGATCGATGGATCTATAGGTCGCTAAATCGGTAGATCAATGGATGTGTAGATCGCTGGATCGCTAGATCGATTGATCTATAGAGCGCTGGATCTGTAGATCGATGGATCTATAGATCGCTGGATAAGTAGATCGCTGGATCGGTAGATCGCTGAATCTGTAGATCGCTGGATCTATAGATCGAGGGATCGGTAGATCGCTGGATCTGTAGATCGCTGAATTTATAGATCGCTGGATCGGTAGATCGCTGCATCTGTAGGTCGCTGGATGGGTAGATCGCAGCAGCTGCAGATCGCTGGATCGGTAGAGCGCTGGATCTGTAAATCGCTGGATCGGTAGATCGATGGATGTTTAGATCCCTGGATTGGTAGATCAATGGATCTATAGATCGCTGGATCTGTAGATCCCTGGATCGGTAGATCGATGGATCTATAGATCGCTGAATCGGTAGATCGCTGGATTTTTAAATCGCTAGATGGGTAGATCGATGGATCTGTATTTGGCTGAATCTGTAGATCGCTAGATCGATAGATCGCTGGATCGGTAGATCGATGGATGTATAAATCGCTGGATCGGTAGATCGATGGATCGGTAAATCGATTGATGTATACATCGCTCGATGTGTAGATCGATGGATCTGTAGATCGCTGGATCGGAAGGTAGATTGATCTATAGATCGCTGGACCGGTAGATGGATGGATCTGTAGATCGCTGGATCGGTAGATCGATGGATGTATAGATTGCTGAATCTGTAGATCGCTGGATCGGTACATTGCTGGATCTGTAGATCGCTAGATCGGTAGATTGATGGATCTATGGATCGCTGGATCTGTAGATCGATGGATCTGTAGATTGCTGGATTGGTAAATCGATGGATCTATAGATCGCTGGATCGGTAGATCGATGGATCTGCAGCTCTCTGGATCGGTAGATCGATGGATCTAGAGATCGCTGGATCTGTAGATCGCTGGATCGGTAGATCGATGGATCTGTAGATCGCTGGATCGGTAGATCGCTGGATCTATAGATCGCTGAATCGGTAGATCGCTGGATCTTTAGATTTCTTGATCTGTAGATTGCTGGATCGGTAGATCGCTGGATCTATAGATCGGTGGATCGGTAGAGCGCTGGGTCTGTATATCGCTGGATCGGTAAATCGCGGAATCTATAGATCGCTGGATCGGTAGATCGCTGGATCTGTAGATTGCTGGATCTGTAGAGCGCTGGATCTGTAGATGCCTGGATCGGTAGATCGATGGATCTCTAGATCGCTGGAGCTGTAGATCGCTGGATCGGTAGATCGATGGATATGTAGATCGCTTGTTCGGTAGATCAATGGAACTACAGATCGCAGGATCGGTAGATCGATAGATCGTTAGATGGCTGGATCTATAGATCTCTTGGTCGGTAGATCGCTGGATCGGTAGATCGATGGATCCGTAGATGGATGGATCTATAGTTTGCTCTATCTGTGTGACGTCAGTCGTGAGGTTTTACATCGGGGATGAGCAGGATTTTGACATCGCAGCTCAAGTTTGAAAAACCGATATTGATAGACACATCAGTGGATAGACTGGCTAGTCTGCTGTATATGCACTGCGGTGTTATAATTGCGGAAAGGAGATTAGTTTTGTGAAGTTTGCCTCTCTCTTTTTTCATGTTTGCTACCCATGACACGCCCCTGGTTGGGCTCCCACAAATAAATATAGGCCACTGCATGGCTACTAGATCATTTAGGCTAGTAAATATTTAGCTCTTTGCGGCCCTTGAGTTGTTTTCATAGCATATTTATGCAGTGTTATTTCTTTTGTGTTTTTAATAGTCACGATTTCAATTGAATCGTAATTTGGAAGAAGTCAACGCCCATTTAGAAGAGCAGGTATTAATTTGCAACTACATTTTTTGTTGGATGAATGATCTAATATATTGTAAACTTGATTTGATGTGTGGACACCTTCATTGAAATCGGTAGTAAACACAGTTGTCGGTTTACAGGTGTAAGGTTGAATATTACCCAATTTCCTACTCGAGCCTTAACTTGTGTTTATATCTCAAGGTCGTTGTTTGTCTTTTGGCACGATATATGAGAGGATCCCTTAATTTATTCGGGTTGATCAAACTTTGGAACCGGTTAAATTACGATTGCATAATTTCGCTAGAGTATTCATTAGGTGACAGTTTAAATGATATGGCACGAAAGGCAGTTGAGAATTTGATTTCGTAATGAATTCTCAAGATATTTTTTTTCTCTTTTTCTCTGGGCCGTTGCCCGAGAGAAACTCGACAAAATGCGGGAAGAGAACGAATCGAAGACAAGAAAGCAGTTAGAGATGACCACATCAGGCTTAAAGGTGGGTGGTTCCCCAAATTTAATCATTGAGAATTGTCGCATTGCGGGAAAAACAAGAATCTCTTAGGCTCGAATTTGCTGCTTTCTTAGTTTCCATCGCAGTCCTCTCCTCTGAGCTAATAGCCGAGACGCGTACAAATTGAATAAGGCCATCCGTGTGGCGCATCCATCATTTTCACATTGCCCAGGATGGACTGTGTCCCGCAACATTTTGCATCAACATTGTTTGAATTTCTCCTGGATATTACGTTCGCCCTTTACAATTTTTTCCTGTATTTTTGGTTTCGGGGTGAGGGTTGGGGGGGAGGGGGTGAACATGGTACATTATTGGCGATGAGAAAATGTGGAATAGAGAATTAACATATCTGAAACCAATCGCTATAAAACGCAGGAGGCTTCACGTATATGAATTACCCATCTCTTCATAACTGTACCTGATTTGGTTAAAACTACCCTTTTTATCATTGAGGGCACTCTGCACGAGTATATCAATTTTTTAGCCACTTGAAAAACTGCGTGCATTTCAATTGACGTTGGCGTTTACTGTTGCTTTATCAGGCTGATGTTGCTAAAATGCGCGCGGGTTTGCATGAGAGCCAAACACAAAAAGAAACTTTTGATGCTGAAGCCAAGAGGTACAAGGTAAGGTTTACTGATAATGCTGCTGTCCATTCACGCACATTTAATGAGGTATTGTCTGCCTAATCCATTTTGCCTTTTACGGTATGATTTTTAAACTTAAAATGTACATAAGCCTTTTCTTTCAAGTGGCCGGCGGCAATGCATATTAATTGACGAAAAAGAAAGTTTTTACTTTTAAAAAAGGTTCAACTACCGCAGGACTGCTGGGACACCAACTTGGCCGCCGTTTTATGCTTTTTGGAACACCAATATGGCTGGAGTGACGTCATGTGAAACCGCTCTATATAAAGAATAAACTAAAGCGTATGTTTCGCGATTTTTAGGATTTGTACCAGAGTGAATTAAAATCTAAAGAAAAACTCGCCAACCGCTTGTATAAAGCAAATGAGAAGATGGCGGAGTCTCAAGCCTTGCTCAAGTGAGTTGTTACATGATGTTCTTTACTTCACCCTCCTGGAAAAATTAGTGCAGTGTGTTTATGCTAGAGTTGATGTAAAAATTACATGATTATATGACAGTAGAAGCGCTCATGTTGTTTCAGTTGCCCGTTTATCGAAATTCCCGGTAATTCGGGGGCCCGAAACCAAATATTAGTATGTGTAATCAAATGGTGACGAGTGAAATTAGGGAATAATTTCCTGAGCCTTTGGGCGAGGGAGATTATTAGGATTTGGACAAAACGCAAATGAAAGTATTCCCTAATTTCACGAGTATACCATTTGGTTACCTATTAATAGCAGAACTCTCGCGCGCGAAGCGCGCCAGCCGAGCACCATGGGTAAGAAAATTTGGTAAACTATCCATCCGAGAAAATTTGGTTATGACGTAGCATACGCCCGCCCGCCCACCCGTACACACACTTCATGTAAGCCGATGTCAAGTGTCACACTTGTCAGGAGCGAGAAATAAATTACACCGGAGACTAATTTCGTTGGAAGAAAAACGTGAAAATTATATAGCGGCGGTTAGCAAACGAGAAATGCTAGCGGCTACTAATGTGAAAAAGGAGCGGCAGTGAAAAAGCATAGTGAACAGGAACACAAACATTTCCTCCATAAAACGCGTAAATAGGAAGCTAAAAGAAGTTTCATGTTTCATGAAATGTACAAAAAAACTGCTGCACGTGCAGAGTTGTTTTTTTGCTAAGTAGATCTATTGCTGTTTTTTTTACCGTTCTCGTTGCTTTCAACTTGTCTTTAGTATTACTCGATTATATATTTTCTTTGAGTAATCTATAAATATTAAAGAGAGCTTCGCTTTTAGCCCTGGTTAAATCTATATATTATCATGGGTGACGAATTTACGTTAGCAATCTTGGATTTTTGACATGTTTATCCTGGATCGTATCGATCGAGAACTCCACTCTCTCAAATGTTTAGATCTTAAATTTGGCGTATAAAGTTTGAAATTTTTTAGACTTTTTCGGAAAAATACCTGTTTATAGTCCTTCTTGATGTTCTCTTGTGTGTTTAGGTTTTCTAAAGCGTCCTTTCGTGCCCTGACATCTTCATGGGCATTTTAAAACTTCGTCGCCATCTTGACACTGAGACGAACGGAAGTTGCCATGGCAATTTTGTAATTTCACATGTCGAATTACAAATTAACGCTGAAATTTCGCGCCAAAATTAAGGAGTAATTCGTCACCTATGATATTAAAAGTAAAATCTTATTGATAAAAGCGCGGAACTTCATTTCACAAACCGGTCCATTTTGTTTTGGTAACTGATAGTCTTATCATGTTATCTCCAAAACGTTTGGCACCTCGATCTTGAATGTAAACATGTAATCAAAACAGGTTTACGAGGCCGGTAATCACCAGGCCCCGGTCGCTCAATAGTTAGGTAACGCTTTCCACCGGATAAATCGCTATCCAGGGGATACGAAAACCACCTCTTGAACAACCGGGACAAGGACGTTCGAGAAACGAGCCCCGGGTCCACCTAGTGGCGGGTTAAAGCGGCACTTGAACCCAGTCTCCCCGGGTTACAAGTCTGTCGCCTGGATCACTCAGGCACGCTGCCTGGGCAGCACTATTTTAAAGTCAATTTATTTATTTATTTGCCACACACGTGTAAAAATACAAATAATATAAGATAAGTAGAAAAAAGGAGTAGTGGCGAGGAGACCTAATAGAAACTATAGGAGCTTATGAGAGATTAGGCGTGCTCCATCCGCGGTCTGTAGCTGTTTACATCAAGTGAAGCAAGACATGGCGTTAAGTCCAATGTGGAAAAGATATGATTGTTTTTCATATGCACTTATTAATTTCATAAATGAGGAAAGGGATTGAAAGTTGATGCCTTTGTTGTCAAGTGAATTAAAAAACTTGGGTCCTTGAGAAACTGAAAACTTCTTAGTGTTTTTTCGACAATAGGGTAGACAGTAGGCCTGGGATTCTAGTATTGTAAGAAGGGAATTGGTTGCTTTGGGAGAACTTGTGATAAGGTCGCTTCTGTAGATTAACTCTTGCATTGTTGTGTTCGTAGTCTCGAAAGATCGCGGAGGAATTTTGAGGGTTTTCAACGTGGTCCCTCTCCGCAGCCCTTGATATCAGACTCTCTGGGCGGTCTATATGGCTCACCTGACGTCAGTCCCGATAGAATGCACTCAAAGGTAATGAAAAGTGTTTGTAGTTACACACGCTAGGATTACAGCGTTATGTCACAGTATTTTTTTGTATGACGAACAAAATATTGCGCGCGAACAAGAACTTATTACAACTCTTGCAGCTCTTGTTTGAATAGCGTTTTACTTTGAGAGAGGCTTCTATAGAATGCTGAATACTCCTGAGTAAATAATCATCTGATTGATTGATTGATTGATTTTTCTAGGGAGACGGGCAGTTAATGAAGGCTGTAGAAAATGAACTTAACAAAAGTATAAAGCGACATTTGGAGAGCGGTAAGTACAACCTCATTAGTAAAACTGAGAAAACAAAGTCAAATATGGCTAGCCCATGAGTGGCTGTCGGTCAGTGCAGACAAGTGAAAATGCTGGCGAGCAGCGAAAAATGAGGCGAGCGAAAAATCAGCGGGAAGAGAGAAGAGGATAGTATGGAAGCATTTTTTTGAATACCTCCGTCCGCCCACTTCCAGAAAAACTGTTACTCTTTTAAGTGACAAATGTCGAAATGTGCGGTGTAGGAGGGTTTCACACGCTCGTTATGTTTGTTCAACACTGCGCTCGCAAAGCCAAGTGATTGATGTTAGTGTTAACCTAAACCGTGACAAAACTGACCATAACAGGTATTCCAAGAGCTGGTATACCGGAATGACAGACTGGCAGACGGGTATTCTCACGCGATGTGATAAGGCGTTGTTTTTAAGAATGTACTTTGATGTTTCTGAATTTCTTTTCGCAGCTCCCATTACATCCGACCTCGATCTCAAGCCGAGTCTGCTAAGTGATAGGGACAGCGTATCGTATGATCCTCTTTCCGCCTCCTCTAAACAGTATATGTCCCTTTTAAGGAAAAACTACTTTGTATAGGGACAAGAAACAGCTCTACCGAGCTCTTTATGTCGCGAGCTTCTTAGGATATCTTAAATTGCGTGAAGAAGAAAAAATTGCCTGAAAGGCTGTAAAGATAATTTATGCATGTCGAGTCTGCAAAAAGTTCTTATCGGTCGCTTAGGATTAAATTTGTCTCAAGCCTAGAACAATTTTTAAATAACAGGAAAAGTTGTTAAAAATTTCTTTTCCTTGAATAATAAAGTTTTTTGAATACCAATTTTCAGAAAAAAAATAATTATGTAATTTAAAGTGTGTAGTAACTTTGTATAATTATATTATTAATAGTTGTACTATACAGCGATCCAGTGGACAAACATTTCGTTACTCAGAATTTATTTATCATCTAGTTCGCTCGTTGTTAATCTGACATTTATTTTAAACGTACATCCCAGACGGCTGTTTTTACTTAATTAAAATATTTTTGCTAGAATCTGTTGCATTTTTTCTTTGATTTTGTAAGGAAGTCTTGTTTAAAACTCTCTTTAGCTGCACGGGTTTCATTAAGGACCGGGCACCGGGCAAACTGGCCGCCTGTAAACGCGACTTTGCCCTGTTGCTTAACATTTCAAAGAACTTCTTTTAATACAAGGAATGATCAAGAACAGTTTTAAGTTAAAACCGTGCCCTTCATCCTTAATGAGTCTTCTCAAACGTAAAACATACTTTACCGTCAAATTTCCACTTTATCACAGGCGACATGAAATCCCCTTGTTTGTTGTGTGTTAAAAACAAGAATCGCTCCATAATGCATTGCGAAAAGAACTGTGCTCTGTGAACTGATTAAATTGTCTAGAAAAGTCATCCTTTTTTGGTAGATGAAAGACATTGTCTGCAGCTTCAGAATACAGGAAAACACATCTCTGCGACTATAGAATTTCAAAATTTTCCGGGGAAGCGTGTCCCCAGATCTCCCCTGCCCGGAGGGCCTTGTCAGTCAATTCTTTTCCGGGTGTCAAACCCAGTTGCCCTCCTGTTCAAAACCTTAAAGGAACCGCTAAGCTGTGTCTTAACCCAGGAAGGGAGAGGGAACTCCCCTGTACTTAAGATACACCGTTTTCGTGTATAGGTACTGGTAGATGGCCCGTACGCGTAGCCGTAAATACGGGTAGGTTGCCTCTTACGCCGGGTAAGAAACGTGTAGTCTACCGTGTAGAACGGTAACGACATTCAGGGATATATTTTATCTGGGAAACAATGGTCGCCTTTTATACAACCGCGTGGCAAACATGGTCACCTTCCCGTACCCGTAGGCAGAAACGGTTTATCTTAAGGTCACAAATGGTACAATTTAATCCCATTCCTGTTTTCGGTGCGAAAAAAATATACCAGAACCATTTGACGGAAAATTTTCACTGAAGTTTCCGTAGAAATGTTATTAAAGCGCTCATGGTCTCTTGTAGGCGTCAAAGGAAGCCTGAGCTGCGCCCAGATTGGTCTTTCCCCCAATTTTCTGCTATAAGTATTCACCATTTTCATATTGCCCAAAATACACCTTTTTACCCCAAACGTTTGCACAAGCATCCATATTCCTCTTCAATTTCTCTAGGGGCGACTGTAACATGCAGGAGATGTTTATACCAAGTTTTCCCTCAGGGGCCACAGATTTCCTGGCCTGATTCTCAGACGTCTTAGGTCGTTCGCGGTCTCTTCGCTTCCCTCCGGAGAGAGAGGGAAGCGACCCTCTAATATCCTTCAACTAGTGAAATCCTTACCGTTTCCTATACCCGAAGCCTGAAAAAGATACCCCTTTCGGGTGGAGCCTCCCCCTATAGGCCGTCATAGGGAGTTCCCCCCCCCTCTGGGCAGGGGCGTAGCGCGAGGTTTTTCAAGGTGTACGCACGGAAAGAAAGGTTGGACTTCCGCTAGGGGGTTCTGGGCAAATACTCCCCAAGAAAATTTTTCAAATTGAGGGGCTCAGAAAGTCCATTTCCTGAGTTTTCCGCAAAATATTTTGAGTAAATAAATACGAAGGAAAGTGCATTAATTAGTTGTTTAATTTAGATCTCTAGTGTTATCGGTAAGTTGCAATGTTTACGGGAAAAAAAAGTGACACCATCAAGGAGGTTACAAGCAAGGGGCGAGGTGTCTACCCCTCAGATGGGTGAAGACACCAATATAATGCGAAAGATTTATCAATCATCCCGATTTAATAATAAAAATGCTTTCAGGAAATAAAAAAGAGATATTTTCTAGATTTCAGCTGTACGCACAGCTACGCCCCTGGCATGATGGGCAAAGTGAAAATGGTAAATTGCTGCCCGGTACAGAGCGTGAGACAGGAAAGAATGGGTAAAGTTACAAAAACAAGCAAACCAAAAACAACTATACTACATAAAAATCATGAATAATTCTAGTAAGGGCCTGTTTACATGGAGGTGGGGGACCCCAGGCAGGTGAGATAACCCGCTCAGGTGAGGTACAAAAAATAACCCTCCTTTACATCCAATCTTACAACCCCGCCATCCTGGGGTGCACTTTCTCAAGATTATTGAATGGTCGCTAAGCACGTAAACAAGAAAAATGCTGGCAAACCACGTGTTTCGGAGATTAATGCTCTTCTCCACTCACTTGCTGTTGTTGCTACAACCTTCAGTGCTGTGGCTTTCTATCGTTACCTTTAATAATGATGCAAAGCCACCGCCAAGGCGAATTTTGGGCGAATTTGATGTGCTACGAACCCGACCCCAGCTAAGCGGGTTACTCCACCTTGAAACGTTCACATGGCAAAATTTGACCCCGGCTGAGAGGGTTACCTGGTCTGGTAGACCGGGCTACCCGCCTTGGGGGGTCACACCCACCTATCATGTAAACGTGATCAAATTAGAATGAGAGATTATATGGACAGGAAGGTTACCCCACCGAAGCGGGTTACCTCACCTACCTGGGGTCCGCCACCTCCACGTAAACAGACCCTAACTGGTTAACTAGGGTAAAGAGAGGGGCATTCTTTGGTCTGTTGACGAGAACGCAAAAAGGGCAATGGGTTTGTTAAGCAAAACAACAACTTTTTGCACGTGCGTCTCGCTTTATTGTACATTTCTTTGTCGTCACTGCACGACTACCACGTGCAAATGCCTGATTCACGCTTTATAGACGACGTAAACAAGCGACCGCGAATTTTTATTTCTCTTTCTTAACTTGAGAGCGGTTTCCACGAAATCAACTGTAGGGAAATTTGCCTGCATCTGTTCCGACATTTTGGTGAACCGACCAGTCTTGTGTAGGCGAATCTTTGTTCACAATTTTCCGGTACTCCTCATTAGCTTGCGCTTCTGGTTTATTAATATGGCTACAAAATTGTCACTTTTGAATACAATGTTCTCGGTTTGTAACTACGTGATAAAGCAGCCAGGTTGCTGGTCAACACAAGAAATTTTTTTCGAAGAATTTACATGAAAATGCTGCAGCTAAATGGCGTTTTTAATTCCCAGTTCTCGCCTCTGTTTCTCAACAACAGCGTGCCCGTGACGTCCGTGCATATGGGGCTTTTTACGTCAATTTGTATGGTAATGAAGTAAAATGTAAATCTTTACTCGTAGTTTCAGCGGTGCACATCTCGAAATTGTGTTGAGTATCATTTGGTGTAAATTTAGTTTCATCAGAGGAAAGATAGGAACTATAAAGCTGTTTTCCTTGGCAACCATTTTTCGGCCCTCGTCCGACATTGGTGCCACAACAGGAATCGTTCACTGGTGGAATTCAACATGCACACAGCGGAGAGAAGATTGTGCTGAACGTGACGAAAGATCACCGCGACGACAAGCATAGCCTGCGGCCTGGAGAGGACCTCACCTGACTTCTGAAATACAGAACTGCTCGCCATGACTCGCAGTGTTGATGCTCTCGTTACAAACGATCAGCCGCCGCGTTATGTTAAAGTCCGTGCAACGAAATGTTCGGTTGTGTAAAGCTTATGTTGTCAGCAGTCCAAGGTCTGGATTTGGAGCCGTCAAAGGAACTGCGTGCCAACTAAAGTACTCTTGAAGGAGCGAAGGAATTACAACGCCAATTTGAGTGAGGTTAGTAAAGTTTTTTTTCCCGCATTCATTATGATTCATGCATTTAATAGCATTTATGTATCAAGGTAAATGAAGCTATGTTCACACCAAAGCGGATAACGTTTGCGCCGGCACGAATAGGGCTTCTGATCACCGACATAACAACGGTGATTTCGGCGCAATTTCTGTAAGCACTAGTTCTCGTATGAGGCTGACCTACCTGCGAAACGGTTGCACGTACTGCCTGGGATACGTACTTTTCCACAGAAGAACAGAATTGACCGGCAACATTTTGGTTATTCCAGCCTCTATCGCTGGCATGCCTACAAACTTGACTCGGGTTAAATTCGTGCGAAAAAAGATTTAGCCTTTTTTTGAAAAAAAAGATACCAAATACCGTGAGATAGCCTCCTTAAGGGCTAAAGTAGCGAGATGCTGTCCCACTAAACTGTTTCACCAGAAAGAATTCTTACAAAGCAAAGCCCAACTTTGTCATGTCACCCCGGTTAGAACTAAAATCGCCGCCATAAAAAGAGATAAAAGACTGTACACAAAATTGAGCCATTTACCCCTGTCAATGTTGCCTAAAAAACGCGGCGTCTTGAAGCTAGTAGCGCAATTTCCTAATCTCTGTCTGGCTATAGAGAGCTTAAACGTAAGCACAAACCGTTTAGAGATCGTACTTCTTCGCAGTATTCTAATCCAGATGCAAAATATTACCTTCCCAAATTCGGGCATGCGTAGAAAGCAAAATTTCGAGATAGTTTTTGGGCTTAAAAGTGACACAGCACTCTTGACTTTCTCTTTTTCCTTTCTTTCCTCCCCTCCTCCTTCTCTTTCCTTCTCTCCTTCTCTTGCAGAGTATTTAGTGAAACTTGTTTCAGAAAAA